CCATGTGTCCAGCGCCCTCCCATGAGGCTCCTACGTGAAGCCTCAACCGTGAAGCCTCAGCCGTACCTCACCTCTGGGGAAACTAAGGACCAAGCAGTGAAGTGACACATAGAGTTGGCATGTGCCCCTTGAGAGAAAAGGACTGCACTCTCCAGGCTGTGCCTCTCCTCACCCCACCCCTTGCAGCTGCAGGGCTTGCAGAGCCTTTGAACCTGACTTCCCAGGGTGGCCACTGGCTCTTCTCCCACCTCCCTTTACCCAGTGCAGAATACACTGGCAGACTCCCTCCCAGGTCTTGGAAAGAGGATGGCAAACAGGGCTGGGGATGTGGCTCAAGCGGTAGCGTGCTCGCCTGGCATGCGTGCGGCCTGGGTTCGATCCTCAGCACCACATACAAAGATGTTGTGTCCGCCGAAAACTAAAAAATAAATATTGAAAAAAAATTCTCTCTCTCTCTCTCTCAAAAAAAAAAAAAAAAGAGGAAGAAAGAAAGAGGATGGCACACCACAGCGGGTATTCTTCAACCATACAAAGGAATGAAGTACCAACGCATCACACCACAGGGGAACTTTGAAATATTCTCAGTGAGAGGTCAGTAACAAGGCCACTCTGTGTGTGTTTCTACTTGTAAGAAATATCCAGAATAGGCAAACCCAGAGACGGAAAGCAGAGTGGCAGCTGCCAGGGATTGGGGCAGGAGGAACCTGGGGTGACTGTTAATGATTCAAGATTTCAATTTAGGGTGACAAAAATGTTCTGAATGAGGCAGTAGTGACGGTTGCACAACATCATGAATGTACTAAGAGCTACTTAGCTGCACGTTTTAAAATGAGGAGGGTAAGTCTTTGGGCTGGAGCGCAGCTCAGCTGTAGAGCATGTGAAGCCTTAGGCTCCAACTCCAGCACCACACACACACACACACACACACACACACACACACCCACAGGTTTTATGTTCTATGTATTTTACCACTTTTTTAAAAATAGAAAAAGAAGAAAGAGGATGGGACTGGTGAAGCTACCTGCTCAGCAATCCTTCTACAAGGGAGGAAACCGAGTCCCAGGGAGCCCCTGACTTGCCCCAGGTCTGGCCTGACTCCCTCCATCAGAGCGTCTCCAAGTCCTTGGTGTGTCCCAGGTGTGCCCCAGCCAGTGTCCCGAGGAGGCCTATTTCTGGGTCCCCACGCTGCTGCACAGTGGGGGGAGTTCTGGTGGCGTTTTTCTGCAGGTCTCTCACTACACATGGAAGGTTTGTTTGTGCTCACGTGTGGGAAGCCACTCTGAATGGTGGCTCCGCACACTCACTCATTCACTGACTCATTTGGGAAACAGAGACTGTGGGGACCCAGTGAAGTGTGGACCAGGGTGGGGGAGGCAGGCACTAAACAATAAACTGCTAATATTTTTAAGCTGAGCGCTGAGCCCACAGGTGTTTATTATTAAAACTTAGTATAGGGCTGGGGATGTGGCTCAAGCGGTAGCGCACTTGCCTGGCATGCGTTCGGCCGGGTTCGATCCTCAGCACCACATACAAAAAAGATGTTGTGTCTGCCAAAAACTAAAAAATAAATATTAAAAAAAAACTTAGTATATCTACCATAGAAAATGTGTTTTATGTGAAACATCTCAACTTTAAGAGTGAACAGAAGACTATGTTGGTGACTTGTTTGGTAGTGCTGGGACTGAGCTCAGGACCCTGTGCATGTGAAGCTCTACCACTACACTACACCCCAGAGCAATGGTGAATTTTGTGTTTTATGAATTTTATCTCAATTTTTAAAATGTAATGGATACCCCCCTAAAACAAAACCACAGCAAAGTATTTAATCACATAATTACAACTGTGATAAGTGCTGTGATGACTTGAAACCTGATCTGTCTCCTGACAGAGTCTGCATACCTCTTCCCAAGAAGTGAAGAGAGAGAGATGATCTTTTGGAAAACAAAGCTGTTGTTCCTGTTGCCATTCCCACAACCCGGACCCCATGGCTTCTATTTGTCTTCAGGACAGAGATGCAACCCCCTCCAACAAGGTTCTGGGGACCCCTCCATCCCCAGCCCACCCAAGGGTCTTTGCTGGAGAGCTCCCTGGTGGGTCAATTAGGCCCTGGAATCTGTGAGGGGAGTGGGCAGCCAGGGGAGTCCAAGGGTGGGGTTCTGGAAAGCTCCACCAGCGTCAGTACACTGAGCAGCTCCCCTTCAGGCTGGCAGCAGTGGGGACAGTGACTCCAGGTGACAGCTACAAGGCCCCATTTCTCAAAATGATAGATACACAAACCCTCTGCCCCAGAAATCTGCCCCTAAGTCTTTATCTGGCAGACATCCCTGTGAAATGATGAAGGTTACTGATCACAGCACTCTGGCAGGGCACAGGAGCAGAAATAAATCTAAATGTTCAGTTAGGCACTGGCTGCTATGACAGAATTCTGTGCAGCTAGAAACAACTACAAGGAAGCTCTTTAACAATAAGGAAAATTCAAGAGAAGTGAAAAAGGAGGCCCAGTGCAGTGGTGCCTGCCTATAATCCCAGTTCTTGTGAGGCTGAGGCAGGAGGATCACAAGTTTTAGGTCAATCTCAGCAACTTAGTGAGAATCTGTCTCAAAAAGGCTGAGATGTATCTGTGGTAGAGACCCTTCAGGTTCAATCTGTAGTACTGTTAAAAAAAAAAAAAGGAAAATAGAGTGTATGAAATACTTTCATTTACATCAAAATCTTTATCTACTGTCTCTGGCAACTATAAGGACCAGACACTCAGGTGGGAAACTGGGTTGAAACTGGGTGAGAAACAGTGTGATGGAGACTTGAGTTTCACCCTTTTGGACTTTGGACAATGTATAATAGGTGGTCCCATAGAGAAAAAATATAGAAGCCTAGTGCAGTGGCCAGGCATGTAATCCCAGAGACCCGGGAGACTGAGGCAGGAGGATCAACCGTTCAAGGCCAGACTGGGCAACTTAGCAAGATCCTGTCTCTAAATAAAAGGCCTGGGATGTAGCTCAATAGTAAAGCACTTATCTAGCATGTGTGAGGCCTGGGTTCCATCCCCAGTCCCATTAAAAAAAAAAAAAAAGAAGAAGAAGAAGAAAGAAAAAAGAAAAACACACAAAGAAAGGACTATTTCCTTGGCATAGTGGGAATGCCCAAGGAGGATCACATGTTCAAGGCCAGCTTCAGTAACTTGGAGAGGCCCCATCTTAAAACAAAAGAAAAAAACCTCAACAATAAAATACCCCTGTGTTCAATCTCCAATGCCCCCTCCAAAAAGGTAGGGGGTTGGTTGGCTTGTTTTTACCTAAAACCAATTTGTGGTGAAACATATTAAGATGGTCAAGCACCCTGAGGGTTTCTGGAGGATGTTCCATCACTGTTTACACCAGGTGTTCACTTCGTGAAGATTTACTTGAGCAGTGTATTTACGGTTTGCACTGTTTTCTGTATATGTGGTATATTCCCCTTTAAAAGTTTTCAAGATAAATAAAACAAAAAGGCCTCGATGACCTTGGTGGGGCTGGACTGGAGGAGGAGCCTTGAGAGGAGATTGGGGCTGGGGTCTACTAGGTTGGGGGGCAGATGGAGAAGAGGGGGCAGGTCGCAGGGCATGGTGGTGCAAGCCTGTAATCCCAATGGCTCAGGAGGCTGAGGAAGAAGGATCCCAAGTTCAAAGCCAGTCTCAGAAATTTAGCCAGGCCCTAAGCAATTTAGCAAGACCCTGTCTCAAAATAAAAAATAAAATGCGTGGGGATGTGGCTCAGTGGTAAAGCGTCCCCTGGGTTCTGTCCCAGGTACAAAAAAAAAAAAAAAAAAAAACCCGGGAGGGCAAGACAGAAACTCCGGGGCCTGAAGACACCCCAGGTTTCCGGTCCAGCATGGTTCAGGACCTGAACAGAGGCGAGGGGGGCTGGTCTGGGGAAGTAAATATTTGGATCAGTGTGGGGCTAAGATGTGAGGAGGGAGTCTGGGCTGCAGCCGGACCTGAGTGTCGTGGGGAGAGGTCCGGAAGGAGCCCGCGGGTGCGACAGTACTCTGGCCCGCAGGGGGCGGGGGCGAGCTGGCTACTTCCCCAAGTGGCCTCGGGGACCGGCTCTGAGATGCACGTCCTGGCTGTATGACCCTGGGCAAGTTTCACTCTCTCGGAACCTCGGGTTCCTCCTCGAGGAAGTGGGGGTCAAACCCACCCATCCGCCGGGAGGACGCAGAACTCGGCCCGGGACTCGGAGGCGGC